TACAAGTTTCATCCGACGACTATTTTGCACGGAGTAATTCATAAGTCCTGTTCATTTTGCCTAGATATCACAAACTTTGGTTAGGACGAGATTTACACAAATTTTTCGCAATTCTGGATAAATGAAGAATTGTTCCCCAATTCATATCGCTCTTTACGAGAAAACTACTTCGACTAATCGTAGTCCCTAGACATAATACTACACATTAAGCTACGAACTTCTAATGCTCTCGTACATGTATGATCAAACTTCGACTCACTATATTGTGGTCATTTCTGCTAGGTCATGTATTGGATTGGAAACAGATATTCATACCTGGTCTAGCTTGGCAACCTTTATCATTCGAGAGTAGCAGTTCATCGGAACTGCATCGTAACTTGAGTCTCTCTCCGTAAATAGGGTTCAAGACACTGAGCAGAGAATGTAAGCTCAAATGACATCTGATATAAACCCAAATGTTCAAAATTAACCATATAATTTCTGTTTAAACTTCTTTTTAACATTGGTTTATGCTTCTTCCAACAATTATTCATGAAAAACAGCAATTACTCGCCGAAAGGAATATTATCAGGGGACCGAATTTTTTTTTCAATCATCGAGTGCAGATTTAAGAAAAAATACCTCAGGAAATGAGTTCGAAGTTTTGCTGGTTCTTTCTCCTCTCGGCGGGAGTAGCAGGGCTGCTGCTCAGCCACGTTCAAGGGGGAATTGTGAAAAAGAGATTCCAGAAGGTAAGTTAGCATTGTGTTTTGATTCTCAAAATATGCTCAAGAGAATAGTTTTCGATCATGATGGGTTATGCTCTAAGTTTGTTAAAATTCAGCAAGCCCATGAATGATTGAAAACAAAAAATAATATTTTTCTTTCAAAATCAGCTTACGATTCTGAATAATATCAAAAATCCTGCTATAACTCCTTGTAAAATGAAAGTCTTCAACTTTGGTGTCATATCAATACTGATCATTGAAATGAAGTTCATATCACGATGTCTTAATTAAAAGTAATAGAAACGTAAAAAATATCAATTGAAGCCAACAGTTTCGAGCGAAATTCACCCACAATGAAAAAATAGTTCCCCATACGAATTCATTTAACGGGACGCATTTCAGGTTGATGTGAAGACGTTCTTCTCCTTGTGCAAGATATCAGACAACTACCGAGTGTACGACTCAACATCGCTCACTCTCACGGAATGCGCTGGTCGTTGCTTGCTTAGTGAAACCTGCGTCTCGTACTGCTTCAGTTATGGTAATTACAATGTGATTACTGATATTTTATTCCTCATTTTGATTAATAAATTCCGGAGAAATAATTTGAGAAGGAACACTCTGAAATCTAATTCACATTTACTATCGACAGAACGATCCATCTGTGCCATCACATCGGTTTTTTCGGCCCACTGGTTTTCCGGGATACCACCTGATGCCACGACGGAGACTTACGACGTGTGTTACTCATCCTGGACTTCAACTGATAGCATCATCAGGGATACGATGATCACGACTTCAAGTCCTCCTAATGACGGTCGAGTAAGCCGATTATTCGTTGACGGATTCTTCTGCCAGTCGGGCGGGTATGGAGCTAGGCGTTTCGATGGTGCCCCCGGCGTTTACAACTACCTTCAAGTTGACTTTGGGAAAAATGTTCTGGTCGCCGAGATACGAGTTGCACTTCGCTCTGATCCAGCATTTTTTGAATCCGTAACAGTGCGACTTGGTACTTCTTCTGTAGAAACATCAAATGCCGTGATCGCTCAGCTGCCTACTGGAGTGACCCCTCTTGGGGATTTAAGAATCCAGTTGAAGCCGCCTGTCTTGGGGCGATACATCCATTTCAAATCAGGCACTACATACTACTTCTCATTGGGTGAGCTCCAAGTCATACCTGAAATTTAGTCGATCTATAAGAGGACCGACCATGTGGTCCTAAAAAAGTGTATCGGTTTACCTCCATACGTATCTCCAAAGGGACCGAAGTTTGAACTCAAAGTCATTTCAGTTTCTCTCTCTCTCTACCGAGGAAAGATTGATGTATCGAAATAAGCTGATGCCGATCATGTATTGTCACACGTGTGTGACAATACATGATTAATTATAATTATAATATATTTTATAATTATAATACATAATTTTCATGATTCTGGTTAATTTGAATAATTTTATCAATTTGACTTTCTGGTCGATTATTCGTAATATGGGTACTGGGGGAAATTGCAAGCGCTCAGTGACAATTCGTCGCACCTACAAGTTCTGTAAAACTGTAATCATTGTCTGTGCGTCCACTGATTCGTAGTTATCACAACAATGAAAGGAGCAGAAACCGGGTTTTCATGAGTGATTGTTGAGGTGCTGAAGTTTTAAATCGCACATGTGTTGATGCGAAATCACACTCACCTTCATATAATGGAAATAGGCTTTAAGTTGAACCTATTTTACGACACTTCTCTTTAACTTCACTTCTTGTTGATTGTCTGTCTGTCTGTCTGCTACAAATCTTATAATCGATATTGAGCACACTTCTACCTGTCCAATCGATCTAAAATTTGGCACACTTGCCTAAAGTCGGAGGCAATGCATGAATCAATTGACAGAATAAATTATCTAGAAAAAAATTTCGATATTAAATACAAATTAAAAATAATTTGTCAGCTACAAATCTTATTATCGGTATTTGACACACTTCTACCTGTCCAATCGATCTGAAATTTTGCACACTTGCGTAAAGTTTGAGACAATGCATGAATCAATTGACAGAATAAAAAATTTTATAAATTAAAACATTTTTTTCATTATTAAAAGAAATTTAAAAATAATTTCGTCCGCTACAAATCTAATAATCCATATATGACGCAATTTGACCAGTCAAATCGATCTGAAATTTTGCAAAATTACATAAAGTCAGAGACAATGCATGAATTAGTTGACAGAATAAATAATTTTGAAAATTTACAAAATATTGATTTTAAAATAAATTTTGAAAATTAATTTTTTAATATATGAAAATAAAATTAGTAATTCATTGTACATGTGTTACATCCAAGACACCAGATTCCTCAGAACTTTAAAAAGTAATTTTAAACGCATATTATTTAACTCTTCAAAGAAGTGCTTTGAACTGTTGCAATTGTAAGCTAATATAAAAATTTTCTCCAGTAAAAAACGAATATTAGATAAAATGCTGACTCGATTTCACATTCAGATTTGAATCACTGCTATTAACTCGAAGAAGAATTCTTGAAACATTTTGATATCCTAATTTCGTTTAATATTGATATATTGAATATTATCCATTGCTGGTATAATAATCTCTAGGCATTAACTCGCTTGGCACCTGCAAATTTATTGGCCTTGGAATCTTTGAATTGCTTCATTGTTCATAAATAAGTTAATGAAAATATAAGTTATAGAATCTCGGAGATATTATTAATATTAGATATATTATGTATCCACATTCTCGTAAAATTTAGCTGAAACTTATTTTCAATTACTCAGCAGGCGCACCACTGGCACGTATCATGTAAGAATTTCTTGCCTAATTTACAAACACAGTAGAGTTTCCATAAAACTAAGTGCGTTTTACGAACTAGAGATTGCGATGCTATAACTCTCGAGTTCTTTTTAGCGCATTTTCTCATTTATGTAAAAAATGCCCTATTGTGGTCGTCATGTCCGTCCGTCCATGACTTCACGTATTCGTCGATTCTGAGAAAATGCGCTCTCTGTCATTCACTGCTGTGAGTACTGAGTTATATTTTTTGTGTCAGAAAATATCTGTTTCTCCCTATAATTAATGATGATTCGTTCATTGTTTGGCAGAGTTTCAATAAAATTTACAATAAATAGATAAATGTGTGATGCTAATGTTAGTCATGCACGCTTTTTCCACTAAGTTACGAGCAGCATAATGTTATCCAGTAGTTACATTATCGTAATGTGAAATCATTGACGTTAAATTAAAATCGCATTCAGGAATAGGCTAACCTTGCTTATATATGTGAGTTGAAAGCGACTACGAAACATTGTAAGCACTTGCAATCGAATGCTATTGTATTTTAATGTACATGCACTAGTGTGACAATTTGAGATTCTCGCTCTAGACTAGTGTTACAATTTGTGATTCTCACTCTACACTAGTGTGACAATGTGTGATTCTCGCTTTACGCTTGTGTGACAATTTGTGATTCTCATTCTACACCCAGTGGTTAAAGTTCAGAGTACCATGATTGGCGCAGAGAGGTGCGGGTTCGATCCCAGCTCTGTGCGTCAGTTTCTGGTCAGAATTGGCAAGGAGGCCGGGGCTTAAAATGTGTCTTGTTTTACAGCGCTTACTGGCTGATGGAATTTCACCGAATTCGTCACTCACTGAAGAAGACTTTTAATTAAATACGCTGATTTGTTTTATTATATATTTAACTTAAAGCGAATAGGCAAATGTTTAGAATTCTCATACTACCCATTATGATGAGCTGCATATTTTTATTTACAGTGTACTTCGAAGTGACTCCCGGTTTTAATAATGTTGTCTTGGACGTAAAAACGTCAACGGCTGGCAGCAAGTGGCAAATTTCGGTAACCCAGATCGAGTGTACTTCTCCCAGTCGAGGTGAGTTGATATTGAAAATTATTTTCATGTATATGCTGTCGGGACGAATGTGACCAAACTGAATTATCACATCTAGCATCTATAGGAAATCGCAGAGAGTTTCACGTTCTAAAAATTTTCGCTATCATAAATACCGTTCTTTGATTTGCGGTTCGATCGGAGTTCATTTAAACCAAGAATCAATTAAAAATACAACAATACTTGTTTATCATTACATAGTTTACCATACCATTCAATAAGCTTACTTTCATTCATGAAAGTTCTAATGTATTTTCGATGTTCCCATCATAGTTTCAAATAGTGGATTCAAAGATTAAATTCGGGAGAGGTAAAAAAAGAAAATTGTTGTTAATACAAACCGCCTCTAAAAAATTACAATCTATTTCGTGCTGCGGCAGTCCCGAGTGTTTGTCTGCAGTACTAGGCCGGGACCACCGGAACCATCAAAAGCTTCAACTACGTGACGCCAACCGCTATACCAACAGGTGATAAATTATTGTGTTGTCTAACACCACGCCGCTTTTTTTTATCCATGTTGCTGCATCTGTAAATCCTAAAATATCGCGTGTACTTGGTAGGCAAGAAAGCCAAGAGAGAGAGTTTAGCTAAATTGATTGATTATTGCTAGTTTGTGCTGAAAGAGTTGGCTGGAATAGACCGGTTAAAAAAGCCTTTGAACCTTGCCTTGAGATTAAAAATCAGATAAGGTATGGAATCGGATTAATTGCGATAGATAACTCTAGATATCATAACACAGAGACCCGACAGCTTTCAAACCAAGATTACACGGTGTGCCTTGCGTCGCAGCCGGACTTCTGCAGCGTCGCGTACACCAAAAGCTCTGAGCTCCCCAACGACTACAGCTTCTCATTGACTGGAGATACAACTGCTTATCTGCGTGAGTATAACTTGGTTGTTGTTAGTTTTGTCAGCAGCATAATATGGTAAAAGTGGTGAAACTGTTGCAATTACTGAGATAAATAACCTACTCACTAAATGTAGAATTACTGTTATTTTATGGGTACCCTATGAAAAAATATGTTTCAATGCCACCTTTATTTATAGGAATAACCATTTTTAAAAGCAGCCCCGGCTCCCGGGTTCGTCGGGACATACTGCACCACGGACTATCTGACCATCCCTGGGGCGGTCATCACCGACTCGTGGTCCGTCCTGCCGCCGGGCTCCGTGGGTGACACTTTCTGCGGCCTGAATTTCCCGGCCTCAGTGAAAAGTAAGATATTTTTCTTAGTGGTACAAAAATTATTCTTCCATCAAATATCAGACTTCATTTTAAATCGTATCTCTTCAGCTTACGTTTAGCGGAAGATTTTAATAATAGATTTACTCAAGTCTGAAACTTGTGACTGTTATTTATTGCTGGAAACCGCTGTCAGTTTCAAACTCTAACTTAATTTTTCTTTCACATCGCAGCTAAAGGCTCATCTTATAGATAGGGAATTTAATAGTTATATATGCGTATTTACACAGAGAGCGTTTTTCTCGGTTTTGTCAAAAGTATCTTACAGAAATAATCTAAACCAATAAGCCTAGCTAGTTAAATGCTCGGTATTTCAAAATACAAATTGTCTTTGTAAAAGAGGATTGAAGACATTGGTTTTTAATTAGCTTTTGAATTTAAATATTTTAACTTATACCGAAACTTTTCATGTCCCTTTCATACCATTAATTCAATGGAAGATACAACATTAAATAATCAAGATAATTATGTCTTGATCTCCATTTCTTTTTTAAAGGCGCAGGTACTCAGCCCTTCAAGCTACACGTGAAAACCGACAACACAGAAACGTTCACGGACGTGTACAACGCTGGATTTTCTCTTGACTATTCTATGAGCGCTTCTTGCTGATTCAGTAATTATAGCGAGCAGCATTTTGGTACCATGAGCCGATTTAAATTTAAGTAGAGAACATTTTCGAGAGATTCCCGATTGATTTTAAAGAACAATACTTTACCACCTGATTGCTTATAAAGAACAATACTTTATTACAGAACCGTTTATTGACATCATGTCTCTAAATTAGGTAACCTTGTTTCTGGGAAATTCATATATGATAAAAATGTTCCTGTTTATAATATTTTTTCGTTAAAATTAAAAAATGCTCATTAGCTGAAGGCTATTTGTAACCTCGAATATATGTTGCAGATAGGCCAAAATGAAAGGTTGTAGTCTGCATGATAGACTTTGTTTGGTCGGGTCCAAAAGTTGAGGTTCGTCTTCACAGTTCCCAGAACCTTTGAGCACGTTTTACAATCGATACAAAACGTCATAGTTTGATGCTCTGCTTTTGGAGCTGTGATGTGCAAGGAATTGGCATAAACTAGGTTTAAAAATTACCTCATTACGATGATGTGGCCAGTATTCCGTGTTATTGCTTATTTTCAAGCAACGAGGACAAAACTATCGTGAGCGCCAAACGTGCCTTGGTTAAGTGCTGCAGAACAATAACTCGTGTTGCCTGTAGACGTTGTTGATTTTGAAATGTCCAGAAAGAAAAAGAAATAACAACGGCAACAAAAGTATCGTATAAAGTATTTCAATTTTTTTACATAATTTGAACAACCAATTGAACAACCACTGGGGTGGCCCAGTGGTTACAGTTCAGTGTACCAGGATTGGAGCAGAGAGGGGCGGGTTCGATCCCAGCGCTGTGCGTCAGTTCCTGGTCAAAATCGGCAAGGAGGCCGGGCGGTTAAGCTCAGCAGAATTGTAGCAGTGAGTTGTGAGTTCGAGACCGCAACAAGCTGTGGATGTTCTGCGATGTAAAGAATCGGCGACATGCCTACGGCCTAATAAACGCAGAAACCGCTATTATTATTCATTATTATTAATTCATTGATTCGTAAACAATACCTGGGAACTAGTATTTTACATATATCTATTGTATATGAGAGGGTTACTTTTTACATATATTATTTCAGAATGCTTGCAGTACTCAACTAAAAGAAAAAACCCTAAGTAATTTCCTAAGGAATTATTACTGTAACTACTAGTGCAAATACAAATGCTGACTTATATATATTGAAGGCATAGCGTTCATTTACAATGCAATATCCGCATGACGGTTTTGTTATGTGTTATCGGTATGATTGGTCATGCGTTATCGGTATAAATATCAGGGTGGAGTTAATCCTTGTTATTACAAATTTCTTCCGATTATTATATTACACGGAGAAATTCATAAGCCCTTTTGTTTTGCGTCGATATCACAAACTTTTGTTCGGGCTAGATTT